GAAATGTAAATTGAAAGGTTATACATCAAAATGTTAGCAGTGATTATCTCTTGGGTTTGGTTTTTTAAATCTGCATTCATTTTTAAAAGATCTGTTTTATTTGTTGTTGATATTGGATCTTGCTATGTTGCTCAGGCTGGTTTTGCACTCACGGGCTCGGTCAATCCTCTTGGTCAGTCTCTTGAGTAGCTGGGATTTCAGGTGCACTCCACAGCACCTAGTCTAATCCATATTTTCTATTTTGAAAGACGCGTGGCTCAGCCAGGACAGTGGTTAAGTACACGAGCACTGGCAATAGTAGTTCCTGGGTTCAAAGCACAGTAACTTGCGTGACTTGGAACAAGTTACTTAACCTTTCTGTGCCTCTATTACTTCTGTTTGTAAAATGATAGTCACAATAATTGTTTAAGTGTTTAGGAAGATATCCCTAATGGTTTGGTCATAAGATTGCTTTGGAGTCTTTGCTCTTTGATTGATATGAAGAATGAATTTTTTTTCTGGGCGGTTACAGAAGAAAAGGCAATCACCTTTTAAACTGAAGCCATTTGATGCCAATTCCAAAGTTCTAGAATTTTGTCTGTTTTGTCATTTTACTAGCATGAATTTAAAGCCCTTGTAGCCAGGCACAGTGGCTCATGCCTGTAAGCCCAGTACTTTGTGGAGGCTGAGGTGGGTGGATCACTTGAGGTCAGGAGTTTGAGACCAGTCTGGCCAACATGGTGAAACTCCATCTCTACTAAAAATACAAAAATTAGCTGGGCATTGTTTTGGGTACCCGTAATCCCAACTATTTGGGAGGCTGAGGCAGGAGAATCACTTGAATCTGGGAGGTAGAGGTTCCAGGGAGCCAAGATTGCACCACTGCACTCCAGCCTGGGTAACTAAGCGAGAATCCATCTTAAAAATAAATAAATAAATAAATAAATAATATTAAAAAGCACTTTTATGTAGGCCAATGTAAGTTATTATTTGCTGGTATTTCAAGTTTATATTTTTGGAAATGATAGTTTTTAACTCGCTAGCACTGTACTCTTAAGTTATGAACACCTCGTGACATGGCCTCTCTTACTTCATCGTATTTGTTTTCCTTCTGCCTTTCTCACTGCCACTCCTGGGAGGCCCTTGCTGAAGGTTATCCTCCTCCATCCGATCTCTAAGTGTTGGAATTCCCTGGGACCAATTTCCAGGTCCTTTATCTTTTTGTCTATACCTAACCCAACCTCTACTCTCCAAACACATCTCTCCAAGTACCTGCCATTTGCTTTTTGGTTTTTTTATTTTGGAAATGGAGTCTCACTCTGATACTCAGGCTGGAGTGCAGTGGCACGATCACAGCTCGCTGCAGCTTCAGCCTCCAGGGCTCAAATGATCCTCCTAGCTCAGCGTCCTTAGTAGTTGGGATCACAGGTGCTCATCACCAGCCCAATTAATTTTGTTTACTTTTTGTAGAGACAAGGCCTCATTCACTATGTTGCCTAGGCTGCTGCCTCGTTTTGTAGCTCCACTGGAGTGTCTCAGAGCCATCTCAAATTCAACAACTCCCAGTCGGAAGTATTCATTCCTACCCTCATCAGACTCCCCAAACCTGTTCCTCTTTCAGTCTTCCCTGTCTTATGAAATGGCACCACTGTCAAGCTAGTCATCAAAACATCACCTGAAGTGTCTTCTCTCTCAATCAATCCATCAGCAAGTTAAGTCATCATTTCCAATTTCAAAATACATCTGGACTCTTTCTGTCTCTCCATCTCCACTGCCACCGCCCTCCATCACGTGATTTCTTGACTGCAATACTGCAATAGCTTCCTCGCTAGACTTGCCGGCAGTCTAGCCACTCTCTAAACCACTCCACCCAGGGCAGCCAGAGTAACCTTTTCAAAATATAAATCAAATTATGTCACTTTGTGTAAAAATCTCAAGAGACAGGGAGACCATTCTGTCGCCCAGGCTGGAGTGCACAGCACGATCATAGCTCACTGCCACCTTGACCTCCTGGGCTCAAGGAATCCTCCCACTTCAGCCTCCTTTTCCCAGGGTAGCTAGGACTACAGGCACACAGCACCACCTGCTATATTTAATCTCCACGTATGTCCTGTGTCTTAACTCCATGTTACCGCCTCCAAGGCTTACAAAGCTCAACACGACCTGGCTCTGACTCTCATCTCCTGCCGTTCTCCATACTATCCGCCCTACTCCAGTATATGGTAAGCAATTTCCACCACATTAAAGCTTTTGTGGCCGGCCGTGGTGGCTCACGCCTGTAATCCCAACACTCTGAGAGGCCAAGGCGGGTGGATCACAAGGTCAGGAGTTCGAGACCAGCCTGACCAACATGGTGAAACACCATCTCTACTAAAAATACAAAAATTGGCCAGGCGTGGTGACATGTGCCTATAATCTCAGCTACTCAGGAGGCTTAGGCAGCAGAATCATTTGAACCCGGAAGGCAGAGGTTGCAGTGAGCAGCCGAGATTGCGCCATTGCACTCCAGCCTGGGTGATAGAGCGAGACTCCGTCTCAAAAAAAAAAAAAGCTTTTGTGTAAGTTGTTCGCCTAGCCTAAACCTGTCTCTCCCCTCTATTCCATCCAAAATGTTGGTTTCTTTTCTGGTCTCAGCTATGTGAGACCTCCCCTGGTCCCATTAAGTGAGTCTCACTGTTGGCGACTGGTCCCACTCTGCTCACAGCCATCAAGACTTGACGTCTGGAATCATCTTTGATCCATTCTTCTTCCACTTTACGCAGGGAATGTTCAGCCAGTCCAGTTGACTGCTTATTCCAGTCTGTTTCTCTTCTTTGTCCCTTCCTATTGCATAATCCAGAAAGACATCATTGGTGGCGTCGGAGGATGGACACGATTGGAAAGGACACAGATGGGCCCTCTGTGGGCTTCTACAAAAGCAAGGATTAGCCTCCTGACATTCTGATGGGAAATGAGGAGACACACTACACAGTCCATATTTAGTTTTCTTTACTCTGTGATCTGTGTTCACTTACTTTCAATACTTTCAACCATATTCCACTTAAGGAATATGGTTCTTAACTTATTGAGGGGTTTATCAACTCCCTGGAATACATAATAAAAGTTATAGATCCTTTCTTTTTTTTTTTTTTATTTTTGAGACAGTCTCATTCTGTCACCCAGGCTGGAGTGCAGTGGTGCGATCTTGGCTCACTGCAACCTCTGATTCCCGAGTTCAAGTGATTCTCCTGCCTCAGCTTCCCAAGTCAGTTGGGACTACAGGTGCGCACCACTGGACCCAGCTAATTTTTGTATTTCTTTTTTAGAGATGGGGTTTCACGCTGTCGGTCAGGCTGGTCTCGAACTCCGGACCTCGTGATCCACCCACCTCAGCCTCCAAAAGTGCTGGGATTACAGGCATGAGCCACCGTGCTCGTCCCCTATAGATCCTTTCTTAGAAAAATATACAAAAACAAGATTTTGCAAATCTTGGGAAAAGGGAATTTCCAGGTGATCACATCTCCTTTACCAGCCAATCATCTACTGTTTTGGATATTTGGCAGTGTTATTTAGTCTTTTCATTCATTCAGCAAACACTTATTGGAGACCTATATGAGGCCAAGCACAGTTTGAGGTGCTGGGTTGGCATAGAACCCAGCACCTCAAAGAACAAGATACGACATACGTCTCTGCCTTCACGAAGCTTACATTTTCCAGCATAAGAGACATAAAACAAGGCCAGGAGCAGTGGCTCATGCCTGTAATCCCAGCATTTAGGGAGGCCGAGGCGGGCAGATCATCTGAGGTCACAAGTTTGACATCAGCCTGGCCAACATGGTGAAACCCCATCTCTACTAAAAATACAAAAATTAGCTGGGCATGGTGGTAGGCGCCTGTATCCCAGCTACTCAGGGGACTGAGGCAGGAGAATGACTTGAACCCGGGAGGTAGAGGTTCCAGTGAGCCAAGATTGCAATATTGTACTCCAGCCTGGGCAACAGAGCTGGACTCCATTTAAAAAAAAAAAAAAAAAGAGAGAGACATTAAACGAACAAACAAATAATATAAAGTCAGGCAATGGTAAATGTTCTGAAGGAAGATAAAGCATAAAGCAGGGGCATGGATAAGTGTGGGTGAGGCTATTTTAATGGCGTGGTCCTTTCTAAGATGATATTTGAGAAAGGCCTGTATACAGTATGGTCATGAGAAGATGTGAGAGAAGAGCATTGCTGACAATGGGAACAGAGAGTGCCAAGGCCCAGGGGTCTTTCCTTCCTCCAAAGATGGAAGGTGAGGTCCAAGATTATGCATAATTACTTTCTCCCGTGTTAGGTAGCCAGCACAGTTCTGAGGGCACAATGCCAGGTTTTTCGAGTGGAGGGCCTCTCCAGGTTCTAATTTCAAATGTCCAAATCCTGGCACCCACATTTCAGGGCTTCTCTGGAATGGCTTTTCCCCTGGGAAACTTTAACTCATCTACTAAAGGGCAGTCTACTATTTCTCTGAATATTAAGATAAAAAAAAATACATGTATGCTCACAGGGTGGCTCACATCTGTAATTCCAGCGCTTTGGGAGGCAGAGGTGGGAGGATTGCTTGAGACCAGCCTGGGCAACACAGCGAGACCCTGTCTCTAAAAAAAATTTTTTTTAATTAGCAGGGCTAGGTATACATGTGCCATGAAAAGAAAAAAAAAAAAAAATTAGCGGGGCGTGGTGGTGCGCGCCTGTAGTGCTATTTAGGAGGCTGAGGTGGGAGGATCCCTTGAGCCCAGGAGGTAGAGGCTGTAGTGAGCCGTGATGACGCTGCTGCACTCAAGCCTGGGCGGCAGAGTGATACTGTCTCAAAAAAAGAAAATGCTTGTCACTTTCTAAGGATATGTGTTTGGGGCAGTGATTTTGTTTTCTGGGCACCTTGTTAACGTTGCAGCTACGCTGCTACAACTAAAGGCAAGAGTCCATAGCGACCATACCCGCCTTCCCCAGCTGCTTTCCCGCGGAGACTACATTTCCCAGAATACCCAGCGGGCCCGGAGGGCGCGCGCGGCGCTTTCTCGTAGGACCCGGCTTGAAACAAGATGGCGGGCTCGTGGTGAGAAGCTGTGAAGGTAACTGCTGCTCTCTCCTCCTCCTGTCGAGGATTCCCTCGAAGCTAGGCAGGCCCACAGTGCATGTTGGCAGGTGTCGAGGTCTTCCGCCTGTCGTTCCCGGCAGGGCGAGGCTGCTTGCATCCTCAGCCTTTGTCCTTTCTGCAGAAGGGCCGGCATGTGGTCGCACGCTTCCTATAGCGCCCCCCTCATTCCCTGGCGGACGTCCGCGGGGAGCGGATGCAGCTGTGGCTCTAGGGACTCCTCTAGGTCGAAGTCTTTTGGATCTTTCCCTGTGCTCCTGGTAGCCTGCTCCTCAAACTTCGGACCCTCAGAGGCTCTGTAGCTTTTGCTTTGGGGTTGAATTCCGGGCCAAGGGACTTGACCTCTGAAATGATCTTCCTGGGGTGAATAATCTGACTCCCAGCAGGGTGTGCTTGTCTCTGGGCTCCGGACAGAGGGGGCCTAATTTCACCCAAGATGTTTTGTTCGTGTTCAAGGTCAAGGGTTTAGGTCCCACGTATGTCACCTATTAAGCAGCGGTATAGTAGGCAAGTAGTCATTTGACCCCTCTGAGCCTTTGTTCTTAATTTGTGAAATGAAAATGCCTGCTTCACAAACGTGAAAGTCAGAGCACACATAATGTATATGAAAGTGGGTTGTAAACTAAACACACCTGTGTGCTCAGGGTTAACGATGTTAATATACTAGCAGTGCAAGGTATCAGTGTGCATGGTTTAGTCTAGCAAATAAGAGGGCCTGTGTCGTAATTCCCCTTTATCACCATTGGAGGAAGGACAGGGCTAGTCATTGAGGACTTTTTTTTTTTTTTTTTTTTTTTTTTTGAGACGGAGTTTTACTCTTGTTGCCTAGGCTGGAGTGCAGTGGTGCGATGTGGGCTCACCATAATCTCCGCCTCCCAGGTTCAAGCGATTCTCCTGCCTCAGCCTGCTGAGTAGCTGGGGTTACAGACATGCGCCATCACACCCCGCTAATTTTTAAGTTTTATTAGAGACGGGGGCTTCGTGTTGATCAGGCTGATCTCGAGCTCCCGACCTCAGATGATCCTCCTGCCTCGGTCTCCCAAAGTGCTGGGAATACGGGCGTGAGCCACCACGCCCGGCCCATTGAGGACTATTAAAAGCAAGGTTTGTCAATGGTTATTTGTCATTTATTCACAACTGCCCATGAATACTGTGGTTGTTTTCCCCATCTTGCCATTGAGAAACTGAGGATCCTTTAGTTAATGACTTGTTCAGAGTTTCCCAGTTTGGCAGTGACTGACACTAAAGTCCTTGGAAGCAAGACGTTTAAGTTTTGTACTTTAGTTTCTTTACGTATCAAAAGAAAGATACCTCGCATGATTAATACGAGAGCAAAATGAAATGGTGGTGAAAGCACCTTGGAAAGTTAAAGACCTTATAGACATATAAGATGGCGACATTTTATCTGGGGCTTTAGGACATTAATATGAGTTCCTCCAAATGAGTATTTAATATGCTAAGGATAGGGCTTCTTGTTTGATATTTATTTATTATTATTATTATTAATGGCTCATGGCAGACAGAAATATTTTCATTTAGTCAGAAACAGGATAGTACTCTAAGTGATGTATTATCTTGTGTATGGAACCTGGGAGGTTGTATACAGACACACTAGCATTATGAGAATGAATACTCTGTACCATTTCTGAGTGACTGTTTCCAAGAGTAATTACACATTTATTGAGCATTAAGTGGAAGGAGCTGCACTGGGTGCAGAGAAGTTTGCATCTAAGAGAAATGGTGACTGATATAGTTCCAGTGATTCTGACCTTATATTTTGAACATGTTGCTCTTTGTCCTGTTATTAAATCATGCGGAATTGCAAAGTTGTTTAAAAGCATTGCTTCAGTTGACTTCAAGGCAGTGATTCTTAACTTATTCTTGTGGTGTTTTAATATAACTTAAGTTTACCATAGGTAGCACTGATTTTTCTTTATCTCTTCAGCAGGAGTAGAAATTAGTATGCCTAGAAGCAGATTTTAAAAGCAGTTTCTCTTCAGAACATCTTTTTTCATACCACTTGATAAGCATCTTGAAACACCATGGCTGTAGCTGCAATAAAATGGGTGATGTCAAAGAAAACTATCTTGAAACGTTTATTTCCAATCCAAAGTAAGTGAAATTTTTTTAATGTTTAGAAAGTTTTAAACCGTTAAGAATATAGAAAATTTAAAGTGTTTATCATTGTATATGCCTGTAATTTGCAACAGTATTTGCAATAATGGAAAATGGGAGAAAACCTAAATGTCAATCAAAATGGGAATGGATAGGCCAGATGTGGTGTCTCATACCTATAATCCCAGCACTTTGGGAAGCTGAGGTGGGAGGATTGCTTGAGGCCAGGAATTTGAGACCAGCCTAGGCAATATAGCAAGACCCCATCACTAAAAGCAAAGTGTGGGTTGGGCAGGGGAATGGATAAATTATGGTATATCTATTTATTTATTTATTTATTTTTTAATTTTTTTGTGAGATGGAGTTTCGCTCTTGTTACCCAGGCTGGAGTGCAATGGCACGGTCTCGGCTCACCGCAACCTCCACCTCCTGGGCTCAGGCAATTCTCCTGCCTCAGCCTCCTGAGTAGCTGGATTACAGGCACGCGCCACCATGCCCAGCTAATTTTTTGTATTTTTAGTAGAGACGGGGTTTCACCATGTTGACCAGGATGGTCTCGATCTCTTGACCTCGGGATCCACCCGCCTCAGCCTCCCAAAGTGCTGGGATTACAGGCTTGAGACACCGCGCCCGGCCAAATTATGGTATATCTTAACTGTGACTATCATGCAGCTGTTACATGGAAAGATCTCCAAATAAAAAGAAAGCATGTCTGTATATATCTATCATATGATCTTGTTTGTATGTTTAAAAGATTATCTGTTTTATGCATGTGTGCATATGCATAAATGCAGAAGTAAAAGGTCTGGAACAAACAGTCGTTATCTGTGTAGACCACTCTTGGGATTTGGCTAAGGGCAGGAGTGAGGGACTGGCTAAGGGTAATTTTCTCTTGTTTGGTTGCATGTATTACTTTTTCAGTAGTTCTTAAAATGTGCAAATAAAGGGTAAATTCACAATCCCATCTTCCAAAGATAATCATTGTTAATATTTTGGTGGATTCTCATTGTGTTTTTTAATGTACCTAGCCATTTTTAAAAAATGAAATGTAATTTGGGTCTTTTCTAAAGAACTGTGTATAGTTAATAGTTTATCGAAAACCTATTAATACTTGTTTGACAGTCAAAGCATGGACCCAAATAAGTAAATAGAATATTAGTCTTTTTTCTCAGCTAGCTGTGCTTTCTTTTTCCTTTTCCTGTCTGTAAACGATTCTCCCATTCCTTTTTTTTTTTTTTTTTGAGACGGAGTTTCCCTCTTGTTACCCAGGCTGGAGTGCAATGGCGCGATCTCGACTCACTGCAACCTCCGCCTTCTGGGTTCAAGCAATTCTCCTGCCTCAGCCTCCCAAGTAGCTGGGACTACAGGCACGCGCCACCATGCTCAGCTAATTTTTGTGTTTTTAGTAGAGACGGGGTTTCACCATGTTGACCAGAATGGTCTCGATCTCTTGACCTCGTGATCCACCCTCCTCGGCCTCCCAAAGTGCTTATAGGCGTGAGCCACCGCGCCCGTCTGATTCTCCCATTTCTAAAGTAGACATGTAGAGAAGACTATAGTAGGTTTGCCTTTTTATATTTAACTATGTGAGCCAACTTTTTATTTTTATGTTTTATTTTAGATTCAGGGGGTACATGTGCAGATTTGTTATGTGGATATATTATATATACACTGAAGTTTGGGCTTCAGCTGAACCCATCACCCAAATAGTGAACATAGTACCCAATAGAAAGTTTTTCAGCCCTTCCCTCCATCCCTCCCTTTTTTAGTCCCAAGTGTCATATTATTCCCATCTTTGTGTCCGTAAGTACTCAGTGTTTACCTCCTACTTAAAAGTGAGAACATGTAGTATTTGGCTGTTTTTGCATTAATTCACTTAGGATGATAGCCTCCAGCTGCAACTATGTTGCTGCAAAGGACATGATTTCATTTGTTTTAATGTCTGTGTAATAATCCATATATTATTACATATGTTATTACATAATCCATGCATATATACCACATATTTTTTATCTAGTCCACTATTGATGAGCATGTTTCCATGTTTTTGCTACTGTGAATAGTGCTCTGGTAGACATGCAAGTGCAGCTGACTTCTTTAATACATCTCTGCTTGACCTTTGTCTCCTCCTTCTTATTTTTGTATTTACTACCATTTGTAATTGAAAATTTGTTCACTGAATTAAGGAGAAAAGAGCTATTGGAAGAAGAGAGTAAAAAGTAAAGTAATAAATAGGCAATTTGTTATGCTTGAGGCGAGGGAAAATATTTTACTCAGTAAACATCTTTGTTGAATAGAATGCTCAGAAGTTTGCCAGATCCTACTCTTTTTAATTTTAATTTATTTTATTTTATTCTATTTTTTGAGACTGGGTCTTGCTCAGTTGTCCAGGCTGGAGTGCAGAGGCATGATTGTGGCTCACTGCAACCTCTCCCTTCCCGGTTCAAATGATTTTCCTGCCTCAGCCTTCCAAGTAGCTGGGATTATAGGCACCTGCCACCATGCCTGGTTAATATTTGTATTTTTAGTAGAGGTGGAGTTTTCCCATGTTGGCTAGGCTGGTCTCGAACTCCCAACCTCAAATGATCTGCATGCCTTGGCCTCCCAAAGTGCTGGGATTACAGTCCTGAGCCACTGCACCTGGCCTAATTTTTGTATTTTTAGTAGAGAAGGTGTTTCACCATGTTGACCAGACTGGCCTCAAACCCCTGACCTCAAGTCATCCATCTGCCTCAGCCTCCCAGAGTGCTGGGATTGTAGGCGTAAGTCACCATGTCCAGCCACCAAATCCTGCTCTTATAGGAAGCTTTCCATCCCTGCTTCCTTGCTTGTCCCACTCTCCCCTTTTTTAGGGCAGTAAACATAATAACATTTATTACATTATATTCAAAGTAAAATCAATTTAGAATTCAGCAAATGTAGCAGGAGATTGCTAGGAGACTTTAGATATGAACTAAAATAAGTCACAACAAAACTACAGTCAGCTTTTGACTATCTAGGAGCTTTTTTGTTGTTGAGAATCGGGAGAAAGACCCCTACTTCTTAGCCTCCTCTTTGCCTTGCAGGAACCCAGCTCCTAGGCTAAAGAGAAGTCAGATTCAATCAGTTTTTACATAGCCTGTGCTTTGAAACAGTTAGTCCTCACACAGGTCTGTTGGAAAACCAATTTAAAGTGTCCTTGGATGATTGAAAATTGTTTATGTGTCCTTTTCCCTACTGGATTTCCCACTAAGTTTGCACTGTACTTAATTCATTTTGGTATCCCTGGTGTCTCTCATTCATGATAGGAGATATATCAGTGTTTGTTGAAGTGATCTGAGTGGATTAGAGTTACTCTCAAAATAGCTAGTTAACTAAGAATTAGGTTACCCTAGAAAATCTTTCCATTATCAGTCATCCTGATACTCAGTGACCTAACTTCTTATATCCTAAGTCCCTTATTTTGCAAAGTTCCTGTTACTACTATTATTGAAAGTAAGGGGCTGGGCAGGGTGGCTCATACCTGTAATACCAGCACTTTGGGAGACTCAGAAGTCTGAGACCAGACTGGGTGACATGATGAAACTCCATTTCTACAAAAATTAGCTGGGCAGGGTAGTGTGCACCTGTGGTCCCAGGAGGGACCCAGCCCACTCAGAAGGCTGAAGTAGGAAGATTCCTTGAGCTGAGGAGTTCGAGGCTGTGATTGTGCCACTGGACTTCAGCCTGGGCAACAGAGCAAGATGCTGTCTCAAGAAGAAAAAACTAAAATTAAAGAAAGTTTTATTACTGTTATTATTGATATTTAATAAAAAAGGGAAGGACATTAAGATTGGAGGCAAAGCAAAATTACGATTAAGGAAGAACGTTCGATGAGCAAAAATAAAAAGACTTCCCTATATTCTGGAAGGATATTTAAAAATTTTCCAAGTAGCCTGGGAATGTAGAATACTTTACAGTTTTTGAAAGCTTTTTAAACCATTTGATCCTTATAACAACTTTGATGTTGGTGACCCAGGTAGCATTATCCTCTTTATGAAGGTAAAGAAACTTGAGTTCTCTGGCCCTCATAAATTTACCCAAGGTCACATATTTGGTAAATGAGAACTGTGATGAAAATGTGGATTCCCCACCTTACTTGGTCCAGTATGCTTTGTACTGTACCTCCTTCTCTGTAGCCAGGTCAAATACTGAGCATTTGAAGATGGGACAACTTTTAGCTTTCATAGCTCTTATCAAAATGCAATTAAACATATATATGTAACAAGAATAACCCATAAATTACAGAAATGATTGTTAATTGAAATTCCTTTGGCACATTGAGTTGCTTTGGCTTGATTGGTGTTAACCTTGACGTTGGTCCTAATTTAGTGCTTCTGCTACTTCTATATCTAGAATTACTTCTGTTGGTAAAATGTCAGGTAATGAGTTTTTCTTTTCTTTTCTTTTTGAGATGAGGTCTCACTCTTTTGCCCAGGCTGGAGTGCAGTGGCACAGTCTTAGCTCACTGCAGACTTGACCTCCTTGGGCTCAGGTGATCCTCCTATCCCAGTCTCCCTAATAAGTGAGACAGATGTGCATGCACCACCATGTCTGGTTATGTATTTACTTTTTTTTTTTTTTTTTTTTGAGTTGGAGTTTCACTCTTGTTTCCCAAGCTGGAGTGCAGTGGTACACTTTTGGCTCACTGCAACCTCCACCTCCCAAGTTAAAGTGATCCTCCTGCCTCAGCCTCCCAAGTAGCTGGAATTACAAGCATGTACCACCATGCACAGCTAATTTTTTTTTTTTTTTTTTTTTTTGAGACAGAGTCTCACTCTGTCACCAGGCTGGAGTACAATGGCATGATTTTGGCTCACTGCAACCTCTGCCTCCCGGGTTCAAGCGATTCCCTGCCTCAGCCTCCCAAGTAGCTGGGAGTATGGTGCACGCCACCATGCCAGCTAATTTTTCTATTTTTAGTAGAGACGGGGTTTCACCATGTTGGTCAGGCTGGTCTTAATCTCCTGACCTCAGGT